TGGCATCACAGCTCACAGCAACCTCCAACTCCTGGGCTCAAGCAATTCTCTTGCCTCAGCCTCCCAAGTAGCTGGGACTACAGGCTCCCACCATAATGCCTAACTATTTTTTGGTTGTAGTTGTCATTGTTGTTTGGCAGGCTCGGACTGGATTCAAACCCACCAGGTCTGGTGTATGTGGCTGGTGCCTTAGCCACTCGAGCCACAGGCACAGAGCCCAGTTTAACATTTTCATTCTCTTCAAATATAACTTAGTCATAACTAATCTAAGAACCTCATCTTTGAGGGCCTGTTGCCTGTAACTACTTTTGGAACCAAATACTGTTTTAGGATTCAGCAGTTGCAGGAAACAATACTCGTCTTATCAATTTTAAATAGAAAAGGATTCAATACCTGTAAATTAGGTGGAAGGTCTAGGTAAGAGGGTTATAGATTAGTCTCCCAAGAAATTCACAGACCCAGAACCGGCCTACATTTGGAAACTGCTACCTCTGCCCCCACTGAGATGAGGAATCAGGAGGTCATCACAGGCTGACTACAAGAACACATACCACAAACTGCCATCTGTGGATCAGGACACTCTTCAACGCCCACAAAACTATTGATGGATATCGGAATGCTAGTGACAAGAAACCTAAAGTCTCTACATCATTCAGGGACAAGAGCTGAAGTAGCTAACCAAAGATAACCCCTGATTAATTTCTTCCTTTCATGTCTTGTTTGTGCATCTAACTGGCAACAGCTGACCACCTTAAGTTACATCAGAAGCTTGGTTTCAAGGAACTCTAAGACACAAAGTTTTTAGCTTGCCAGCCTCTGCAGTACAAGGAGGTACATTTGAAGGTCAGAATAAGTGATGTGTACCCACTTGCTATATCTACAAGCTTCTTTCCATCAGCCTATCCAAGCAGGGTTGCTGACCAGATGTGTTCCTCTACCCAGTGTACAGACCCTTTGAAAGTTGCTGCCAGCTTTGAAGATGATCTCTTTTCCTGGCCTTAGAGAAACCTAACATTTCCTTGTTTTCAGAGGTTTTTTGCTAATCTATACAATCTTTTGCCCCCAGCTACTCCTTCAACCTAATCTACTACTCTCCCTGCCTTGGCCTGCTTTGTCGCAGCCATATGTACCTTTTGGTGTGTTTTTTGGAAACAGGTCAAGGATGCTCCCCCAAAGGGTCTTTGTACTTCATCGTTCACATCTGGTATGCTCTTCTCCAAGATAGTCACATAGTTCTCTTCCTTGCTCTGTTCAGGTCTCTCAATGAAATATACCCCTATCAAAGAGGACTAAACAGGCCATTTAAGGTAGCACCACCTACTATTCTCTCTTCCTGTCCTTTCTTCAGTGTTCTCATCCTCATCCAGATTGTCTTCCCCCACTAGGGGGTAAATTCCACAAAAACAGGACTTTGTGTTTTACTTATTGCTTCCATATCTAAAATGTCTTGGGTATTTCAGAATGAATGAAGGCTGTATGAAGAGGAAATGAAACGCTCCCTATTTTCTAAACTGAGAACTAACTTTTCCAATACATTACTCATGTTTTCCGCTAGGTGGTGCCGAGAGGCCTTTTCATCTGCTAACATCTGGGAGGAAGGATTAGAATGAATGTAAATTAGTCACAGCCTTTGGCTTGGAGTTCTAGGCTTCCTTTCTTATCTGATACCTAGAATCTCTAATTTATTTTTTCTTATTCCTGAAGGAGGAGAAAACACAAGACTTTACCAAAAGCATTTTCAGTATACTATTTCACTTAATTTTTACAACCCCATAGTTAGAATTATTATCTCCGTTTTGGCTCAACAAAAACAGACTCAGATAGTAAGCTGCCCAAGCAACAAGAGTTGGGACCCAGGCAAGAAGTACAGGTTTTGCTGTAAACTACTGCCCCTCCAACAGACTTCTTTGATTTTATTTAATTTTTCTCTTGATGCTTTAAGAGAATTGCAAGTTTTGAGATGATAATTAGCATTTCAGAGATTTCCAGACTGCCTTTTCCCCCAACAACTTCCCTTTTTCACACAGGACACCCTCTAGGGCACTTTCTTCCAGAGACCCAAAGTCTCAGGTGCAGGAAAATGTGCTAAATCTGGCTGCAGTGCCCAGGAGGTAAGAATCTTCCAAGTTGGCTGTTGTCCAGACTCATCATCCTCCTTGTAGTAAAAACACAGGCCAGAAAGACAAAGAGCAGGTACATCTGTGAAAGGAAAGAGAAAGCCATCTGGTCCCCAGGGAAAGGATGTTTTCAACTTTTCCTCTGGGCCCATGGCTAAGGTGATAGAGAAGTCTGGCCCTGGAAGCTCTTTAAATATAGCCTGAGAACTGGAGAAAGTAGAGGCAAGAGAGAGTAACTGACTCACACAGTCACAAAGTAAGTTACTGCCAGATTTGGAATCTTTCATCAGGTCTCATGAGTCTTCTAATTTTCTTGCTATCCTGTGTATGAGCTTTGATTTCTAAGGACATTCTAAACAGAGCCAATCTCCAAGTAGTTTTAATTTAGCTCAATTCTGACAAATTTTTAAGGTCAGGTAAGTATGTCCAGAGATATTGGTCAGGTGTCTTCTCTCCTTTCATTACAAATCTCAGATTCCTTAGTCTTTCTCTTTTAAACTAGAATGTTTTTTAGAGCAGGGAGTTGTGTACTGGAAGCACAGCTTGCGCCCATGTTATTGCTTGTTGATTACGCAGTATCAGTATATTTCTTCTCCCAACAATGTGTAATCCTTCAACATTCACTGGGATCTCTCTTAAGAGCCACCTAGATTGCCACTTCTTTCCTCCACTGAAGCACTAAGGGTGATTACCATGCAGAAAAGGGTCAATAAAGCTTTAACAGTAAATTGCACAGTTGCCTCTAGAGGGCAAACAAGGTTCACTTTAATCTACTGAGTCCCTATTTAGCTGACTCTGCTAATAATTCTTCAGTCTGGTTCTGACTACACAGTACAAATCAAGCAGTTTATACGTGACTCCACTGCAGTTGGATTTGAATACAATCCTTTTTCCCTAGGATTAGCAAAACTCAGGTAGAGACTGTTAAAGACGTAATAGTTTTAAACATTTGGCTCTGTTGGACTAAGGAAAATGAGTTAAGTTGAATTACGACAGAAATCTTTATTAAAATGTGTCCTTATGTTTAGCATACAATATACACACATACATATGTACACTCTTTGACACACCTCACAGATCGCCACCATCAGTTTAACCAATAAATTAAAACTAAAAAAAGGGTGGGGGGCAAGGGCAAAGGGACTAAGGGCAAACTTTTCTTGTTTTATCTTTTAAGAAACTGCAAATCTCTTAGAATTTCCCTGGGGAAAACCTATGACCAGAGAATCTTTCAAATAAAATACATAAATCCCCACCCCACCCCTTCAAAAAAGATTCCAAAAGATGCAGTTACAAGTGTGCTTCTCAGAACAGGAGCATTCATTCCACTTCATACTCTGACTTCTGCACCTTCTGGCTTCAAGACAGTCTGTCCCTCAGCTGGGGCAGAGAGGTTCATATGGGCACTTGGGCTTGGTGCACCTTGGGCTCTGGGGGTTGCGGGGCAGGCTGCAGTATGGGAGCGGGGGGAGCCACACTCATCTGAGGTGATGTCTGGCACATCATCTGACTGTGTATCAGAGCTCTCCAGGTCGCTGCGGATGCTCTCAGGCTGGGCCAGGCTGATGTCCCACGGTTTGCTGGCCAGGCAGTCTTTCTGTTCACAGCTTTGGTGTTTGCAAGGGGGATCCTCTTCACTGCCTCCACCACCACTACTTTCTTCATTCTCTGCCATCTGAGCATGAACATGGAGTGAGTCCTCCGTGCTGCTTCCACTCACCAGCTGATAGTGGCTTGGTTTGGCTTCAATGTCCACTTGGATTTCCATGTTGTTGCATTCTCTGTGGAGACAAAATCCACTTTGCTGAGTCATGTATGGATCATGCTATACCTGTTGGTAAAAGTGGTTTGTGGGTTCAGGATTAGGAAGTTCAAAAAAAATAGGTAAAAAGTAGACTCTAGCTCACTTTTAACAAAAATAAAATTTTAACCCAACACTCAAATAAAATAGAGAGGAGCTGTAGGCAAAAAGCCTTTAAATAGATTAATTCTGTGAGTGTAAGTATGAAGCCTTGGGAGAGTTATGAAGGAAAAGGCCTGGATAGAACTCCATAGTGGCTACTAAGCCTAGTCAGGTAGGAGGCAAAGCCTGCAAGCAGGTTTTTGTACATCTCAGGAATTTCCTGACTACTCCCTACGGATGGATGACTGCCTCAGACTTAACCTCCGTGGCATCGCCCACGCATCCCGACCACAACAAGAGCAATTAGATACTTTTTTCTGATTTAATATACATACACATACAGACACACATACATATACACCTCAGCCAATCTCTTTAAATATATAAAAGAGCTTCCAAAATTCAACTAAGGGTCAGAGCCTCACACTAGCTTACTCAAAATATAAAAGTGAAAGTGGATTTGTAGTTTTTTACTACTGTGCCACAGTAAAAGCAGTCAGAATCCCTACAGCAGGAGTACCATAATCACACCTAGCTTCTCAGCAGGAGTACCATAATCACTAGCTTCTCAAAATTAAAGAGAAACAGGCTTTGAGACCCCTATCAAACAAAGGGCGAGCAGAAACCCTAGACTCACAGATGTCAATGAACACCAAGCTAGCTCTTTAAGTTCTAAGTAATTATATGTTACTGCAATAGCCAAGAAAAGACCAAAAAAAAAAAAAAAAAAGAAGTGACAAGAAAAGAAAGAAAAACAAAATCTCTAAAAGAATAGAAAGAGAATCTCCTATAATCAAGTGCTAACAAGAATCAAAGGATGCTAAATACTCTAGTACGAGAACTTGCTCAATGAATTCACAGGGTACACTATATCCCACTAGATGGCACAGGAAGCCCTAACATGAGGCATTGAGCTTCTGAGACCTAGCACCCATCAAAAAGTACAACCTCTCCTGGACATCTGACTGTTCACATACCTGTCCTGTGGATTGTAGGAACTGATTATGGAACCGGCCATAGCACGAGTGCTTGCGTTGTCACTAATTGCACCAAGACTGGCTGTGTCTTTGGGGAAAATTTCCTTTTGGACATCGGCTTGAACTTCTAACCTGTGTAAAGAGGGGACGTTCAAGTTAATATGACACTTGGGTATTCCAAGACAGTCTGCTTCCTGGCACACATCTCTTCCCTACTTCTTATAAATTGTGGTGATCTGTCTGATCTCTGTCAAACAGCTCAAATAGATGCCTACACATTTTCTCTCTTAAATACCTAATGAAATCGTCCCCTCCTTTCTATTCCCACTGCTACTTCTTAATTTCATATCCTCAAAATCTCCTACCTAGATGTTTATACAATTGGGGTCCCTTTCCAGTAGCCCATGAATCCAAAGTCAAACAACCTCCAGCTTAGTGCCAGTATAGACAAAGACCTAGTCATTCTAACAATTCTTTCTTTCTTGGCCCTGCTGCCCACTGGCATTTAACGTCTTCCTGATCTGCTAGGGAGCTCTTGTCCAGTTCCATCACTCACTATAGATCCAAAACCATAGTCAATCTGAATTTTTCTTTCCTTAAATACCTATATACATTTTATACCTCCATGACTTTGCACATGTTATTCCTTCTCTCTGCAAGTTTCCTTTCTCTATGAGACAAACATATTCAGTTCTTAACAACGAAGTAAATACCATTTCCCCTCATTCTCCAGCAAACCAGTCCAGCTAAGTGCTCCTATAGTACCTATTTTTCAGGATTTTTCTGCATCTCTCTCCCACTGGCTGTGAACTCCACAGAAAGAGAGACCACAACTTATTCACGTTTCACCCTCCCTGCCTTGCACATAATAAGAACTCAAACCTTCAAATCTTTGAAATCAAATTACCTCCAGGTTATGTGACTAAAGGACAGGTAGGAGCCAACTTCCTCCCTCCTCTTGGAGCAGCAAACTTTCCCAATGGTGTCTCAGAGCTAAGAACCCATAACTATTTCCTTTCTTGGCTCCAACACCATTTTGTTGCACACTTAAGTATTTCCTCATAATGGGTTTCACAGTCAAACCCATCTGACTCATTCACTTCCTATAAAAGAAAGGCTTTTACAGAACTGGAACAGCTAGACTGGCTAAGCTGCAGTTTCAGCAAGTCAGTCTGCAATTACATCTGTTTGCTTATTTACAGGGGTGTTGGTTTTAAGAAAGCACAGCAGTGAATACTCCAGCATGTGCAGGCGGGATCCCCTGACAAGAGACAACCAGAGTCGTGAGACACAGGTCAGTAGCAGCCTCCAGCAGCAGCCTCCATCCTGCCGCCTGTGCCTCTGCTCTGCTCCTCTGACCTCAGATGCCCTTCAAAAATGTGCCAAAGCTCTGGAATATGATGGAGTACGGAGGGAAGTACATGGAGTCAGAGGCCTGTGTTCTAGTTTCAACTTTGCTACACAATCACTCTCAAAGTTGTAAGAGCCCTTCACAAAGGCCACCTACTTAGGTGGTTCCAAGATGCTAGTTCGTGCAATGGTTATGCTAGAATCACCTGGGGAACTTTATCAAAACACAGACTACCCTCTAGCCCTCTAGGTCCCAATACAGGAGACTCTAAATTATTAATTTTCAAAGGTATTCCCAGAAATACATTTTTAAGAGGCTCTGATGTGACTGACAGACACATAGGTGTGGGATCTAGTCTAGTCTATCTACCATCTGTTGCTTGAATTCTCCTAATAGCCACATGACCATCTGGTCTCATTTTAAATACTTTCAGGGATCGGCAGCTCAGTGTCTGCGAAGGTAGTCCTTTCTTTCTTTAGGCTTTTAATAGCTTTTCCCTATATTCTCTATACTGAACCAAAATTAGGTTCCATCTAGCTTCTGCCAAGTCATCTTAATTTACCTCTTGGCATAACTCACAGAAATCTAATCTTTTTCCTAGTTAATGGCCCTTCAGATATTTGAAGGCAACCATCTCCCTCTATCTTCCTATCCTGCTTTGCTCCACCTTTACCCCTCCCCAGGCCTCTCCTCTCCAGTGCATTCTATAAACTACTTCTCATGTAACATTGGTTGAATACATTCTGGTTTTTTTTGTTGTTGTTAATTTTTTTTATTTGTTTATTTTTTGTTTTTGGCCAGGGCTGGGTTTGAACCCACCACCTCTGGTATATGGGACCGGTGCCCTACACTCCCTTGAGCCACAGGCACCGCCTGAATACATTCTGTTTTGTCTAACTACTGAAATGATCAGGTAAGTCACTATCTTTTTAGTCATAAAGCTTTACATTTTCTCTACTCAAGTTCATAGAATTGATTTTGTCTATCAAAGGAGATTAGAAAGGTAAAAAGGATCACAGTATCGATAAGCCAAGATACAGTATAAATGCTAATCAACTGAAAGCCAATGACAAGCCTGACGAAGCCTGCAGCCTTAGGAATTCTGTGAAAATGCCCCCTCTCCCTTCTTGAAACAGGCAGCCGAGGATGTGAAGTCAGGATTATTCTTTATATAAATGCAGCTAAGGTGCAATGGAAAGAACACTGAACTATGTAAGGTTGCTTCACCTTTCTAAACCTCTTCCCTATTTGTAAAAGAAAAAAAAATACCACCACCAAGTAAATCCATGTAAATCAAAATAAGATGATATATGGGACGTGCCTGACACAGAGAAATGGCTCAATATGTTACTTATAATTCCAATCATTTCTGTCAGAAATTATCTATTTATTTACCTGCTGTACTTTCCCTTGCCACTGGAGAGTATGCCACCACTCAGTGTGCCCCCTGACAAGGCTGCAAAGCTAGCTGTTTCACTGTAAGGACCTTGCATAACACTAAGTCCGTCTGTAGGGCTTCCACTCGTGCTCAATACACTGGTCAGGCCTTCAATGCTGCTTTCTCCAATGCTGGGATTCTTGAGGGCTCGCCAGGCATCTGCCACTGGGAATAGAACCAAACATCTCAATTCAAGATAGCACAGCATCAAAACAGACTGGTAAGCATACTCCTGCAGTGACTCTTCAGTGTGGAGGATTTTCATGTATTAATAGAAAAGAACTAAGGTATTCACTTAATGAACAGCTATTTTGTGTAGCCACCACACATCAGGTGTTTTAACATGTTTTCATTTAATCTTCTTTTTAAAAATCTTATTTATTTATATATTTATTTATTTATTGAGACAGCATCTCACTTGGTCACCCTTGGTAGAGTGCCATGGCATCTTAGCTCACAGCAACCTTAAACTCTTGGGTTCAAGTGATCTTCTTGCCTCAGCCTCCCAAGCAGGTAGGACTACAGGCACCCGCCACAATGCCCAGGTATTTTTTTTTTTTTAAGAGATGGGGGTCTCACTCTCACTCAGGCTGTGAGGTCAGACAATCCACTTGCCTTGGCCTCCCAAGTGCTGAGATTATAGGTGTGAACCACTGCGCCTAGCTGCATTTAATTTTCTAATAACTAGAAATTTCTAGTAATTTTCTAGTAATTTTCTAATAACAGCTTCAATTTTAGTTGAGTAAGCTAGAATTTAAAACTAAATGACTTAGCCAAGGCCATGGATAGTCACACAAAATGACAATTCTGATTCCAAGTCCATTATTCATTTTTTACTACACTGTACTCGCCATTTCATTAAATAAGAAAATTTCAAAATATATATATATTTTTTTGAGATAGAGTCTTACTATGTCACCTTTGGTAGAGTGCTGTGGCATCACAGCTCACAGAAACCTCAAACTCTTGGGCTCAAGTGATTCTCTTGCCTCAGCCTCCCTTGTAGTTGGAATTACAGGTGCCTGCTGCAATGCCTGGCTATTTTTGTTGTTTTTGTTGTTGTTTGTTTATTTAGCAGGCTCGGACCGGGTTCAAACTCACCAGCCCCGGTGCATGTGGTCAGCGCCCTAACTACTGAGCTATGGGTGCTGTGCCTCAAATAGGCTTAGAACATGTGCTAATTCTATTTTTTTTTTTTTT